TGAATGAATAATATAAACTTGCCTAAGTTTGTTAACCCAAACTACTGGATCACAAGGTTCAGAAATTTGTCTCCATCTGACAGCTATATTGTACACATCTTGCCAGGATAGACGACCAATAGTAAGTCCATTTTCACCTATGCCATATGAGGCTGATGTTTCTGAGGAACTGCTACTGCTACAGCCAGCACCACCTCTATTCTGGCTCAGCAAAGTGAGCTTTTCCCTCCTCCTAGCTTTCTTACTATTTTTGTTGCTGCTTCTCATAGACCGCCATGCCTTACTCACCTTTTGAGCTATCTCAATTGCAGCTAAGCCAGACATACGATACTGCAAAGAGAAGTAAAAGGAATTCTCTGATTTTTTTTTAAAAATCAAGGACTCATATTCAAGATAAGCGAAACGAGATGCATGTAATATGAAAACTGAAAAAGCCTGAACCAAAGATCATAAAATTATGGTCTCTATCAGGATATACTTTATTTTTTATTTTTTTTATTTTTTAATCTAATACTACTGATTCTATTTACAATAACATTTAGTTTTAAAGATTAAACCTTCAACAAAAAAATAAAGTACTAAATTAAGTCTACGATCAGTAATAAATTAATGAAACCTAGTAAATGAAGCTATGGTGAGGAGTGAGGCTTATATTTTATATACTAACAAACCAATGTCCAATGCTATATCTTATGCTAGAAATTGATCTCTCAGATTACAAACAATCAAGGATCTGTAGCAAAGATAACTGAAAGAAGATGCATGTAATATCAAGGCTTATATTTTATATACTAACAAACCAATGTTCAATGCTATATCTTATGCTAGAAATTGATCTCTCAGATTACAAACAATCAAGGATCTGTAGCAAAGATAACTGAAAGAAGATGCATGTAATATCAAGGCTTATATTTTATATACTAACAAACCAATGTTCAATGCTATATCTTATGCTAGAAATTGATCTCTCAGATTACAAACAATCAAGGATCTGTAGCAAAGATAACTGAAAGAAGATGCATGTAATATCAAGATCTCTCAGATTACAAACAATCAAGGATCTGTAGCAAAGATAACTGAAAGAAGATGCATGTAATATCAAAACTGAAAAAAGCCAGAGTAAATTATTGAAAGCTACCCACAATAATGAAACCCGAAACCAGCCAAAACATTCTTGGTGTGGGTTTGGCAATCACATAACTAAACCAGAATGCCTTGTTTCGTATGCGGGAATAGGGTAGAATAGAATGCTCATCCCCACTTCTCATTCTCACATACCAAACACGCGGTTGTGTTTCGTACATAGGAATGGGTACGAATAGAATGCCTAATCTCACTTCTCATTCATGTGTACCAAACATAACGCCTTTTTAGAAGCTAGAATGCTCATTCTCATTTCTCATTCCTTTCCATTTTATGTGGGAATGAGCTTTCACAATGAGATGATAGGCAATGAACATTCCCACTTAAGTGGAAATAAAAAAAATTAAAATTAAGAATTCCAAATATTCTTAATTGCTTATTAATTTCCCATACCAAAATTAAAAGGATTGTCATTCTCACTTCAATTCGCACCGAAACATGAGAATGAGACTGAGTATTCCATTCCCACACTTATTCCATTTCATGCCTTAAATCATTAAATTCTCACTTGACTCGATTCATGTGCACCAAACGAGGCGAACAAGTTTTTAAAAGTTGGAATGCATGTTCCCTACGAATGGTCATTCCCACATTATGTGGGAATGTGCATTCCCAATGAGTTGTCAAAGAATAGGAATTTCCACTCAGGGCTTGTTTGTTTCGCCAAAAAACAAGAAGACCTGACAAAGTTGCCGCATCAGATTTTGTGATGCAGGACAATTGTGGACTCTCCATGTAATGCGATTATGATTTTATTTTATGCTATATAATCTTCTTTTTAGTTAGGATTTCTTTAGGATTTGATTTTGAAATCTCTTTCTATTTTAGCTAGAATTTTATTTGATTGTATCTTTAGTTTTGTTAGGTTTTGATTTGATTAGGATTTTTATTTACTTCCTTAAGTGTTTAGTTGTTTTCTTTTCCTATACATAAGAGATGTAATCCTCCATGAGAGATAGACAATGATGAATAAAAAAATTAAGTTTGATCTTGAGCATGCGAATTGCTTATTGGTATGTGAAGTGTCTTTGAGGTATGAAGTCCTAGGGTGTAAAGCCCTTAGGTGTGATGCCTAATACCTATTAAAATTCTCTTTTAATTATTCTTCTTGATCATCCACCACTCATTTTCCCTCCACAAAAATCTGCGCCATCCAACCAAGTCAAAACGCCTCCACATAAAATAAAAAAGCTCTGTTCAACCGTGAACAATACCCATATACTGTTCATCTTGGTAGCTTTCTTCATCATGGATTTTAACCCCATTTCGCCAAGACGTCGACAATTCTTGCCACCAGATCGAAGCCCTCGCGCCGCTCCCCATCATTTAGTATCAGAGCCGAAGGATCCACAATTATCAGGGGTAAAATACCACTACCTCCTTCACAAATGTATGATTTTAATCCACTTGAATTTGGTACCCTAAACTACTTTTATGGATTTGATGGATATGAGGAGCCTTATGAATTTGACGTCTGGATTTTTCAATATAGAATATATATTTTCTATCTATGATATCTATGATATGTCAGAACTGAAAATATATTTATATGCTGAGTGTAGGCTAAAGGGAGAGGAAAAATATTGGTGGTATAGAAACTACTATCATTTAAACATCCGCTCGTGAACAAATATGAAAGCTCTTTTGGAGAGAAGGTACTCTAGTCCACCATCTAGAAGATATTGTTTCTCTTTAAATTCTAAAGCAAAGCAAACACAACTTCCTCAACCCCGACCAGATGTGGATCTTCAATCAAAATTTAATTTCAATCTAGATCTGAAGCATCAACTCGAGTCAGATGAGAAAGCAGAGCAAGATCAAAAATTTAATCACGAACCAAAACCGAGTCTGAGCGTGAGCCAGAATCAGACGTAGATCAAAAGATCAATCTAGAGTGCGAGCCTGAACTACATGCAGAAGAAGCAAATCAAAAGATAGATCCAAAACCCAAGGATAAACAAGAGTATGAACAAAAAACAAAATAACAGATTGATCTAACTCTCGAGTTTGAATCAAACCCAGAGCTCAAGTCAAGCCTATAATCTAAACTTAAGTTTGATATGCGATGCAAATTTCAAGATAATCTGGTAATTAAGTTTGTTATTCCAGACCCTCAACCACTAACTCAATATTGAGTTTTACAACTCATCTTGAAGATCTTCCAATTCTTCTCACCAATGCGATTTGGATTTATTAGAATCTTTTCTTTTTTGGTAGGATTTTATTTTATTCTATGTAATCTTCTTTTTAGTTAGGATTTCTTTATGATTTGATTTTGAAATCTCTTTCTATTTTAGCTAGGATTTTATTTGATTGCATCTTTTAGTTTACTTAGGTTTTAATTTGATTAGGATTTTTATTTACTTCCTTAAGTTTTAGTTGCTTTATTTTCTTGTAAATAAGAGATGTAATCGTCCATGAGAGATAGACATTGATGAATAAAAAAAATTAAGTTTGAGAATTCTCTCGAGGATGTGAGACATTTTTTAGCATGTGATTTGCCTTTTTTCTTTATGGTGTGAAGCCTCTGGGTGTGAGGCCTATTTATTTATCTAAAATTTCTTCACTTTCAACCCTAGCCATCTGATCTCAACCACACACCTTTTAAAAAAATTTATTGTTCACGCATGAATAGTATCCGCTACAGACTCGAGATCCAACATCATTCGCCAATGATGCCACAATCCTTCGAATCTGATTACTTACCTCAACGATGACCCCCGCTTGAGTATCGCCATCACCGAATCTCCTCCGATCATTCCTTAATGAGTTATAACCCCTCGTCGCTAAGGTCTTACAACACGGCTCTGGAAAGTTTTCAACAACTAAAAATTTACCATATCCCCCTTCCAGATCACGTTCAAATTCGAGCATCTACTAAAATTCACAGTATCGAGAATCTCGTGCTTTCCCATCGGATCCCGGTTGGCGCCGAAGGCAACACATTCGGAGCCATCTACTTTCATATCAGAGTCCCTATCCCGACTCCTATCATTTTGGTTTCAAACACGAGGTTGGTTCAGATTGGGTTTTTATGAAATCGACCAAAAAAAAAACTACCATGTCACATTTTTAGGAAATCCCATTTTAGAGCTATTAGTTCCAAAATGGGATGGAAATGTAATTTATGATGATAAATTAATCATCCACTTGCCTTTTCTCCAATAATGAGGTTTTCCTTGATGAGGTTTCTTATTTTTTTTTGTTTTGATCCAGACAGCAGAATGGGAAACAATACACTTGCATCTCATGATTTCCATGCAAAACTAACACTAAAAACCAATTTCCAAGAGACCCATAGAAATGCAGGGAAACATGTGTCTGGCATAGTTTTCCATGTCTCAGTTCTTTATTGAAACAAACCAAACAGCCCCTTAAGTGGAAATTAATAAAATATGTCCCTTCCCGCTTCATTGTTTAACTGCACTCAAACGTGAGAGCATTCCATTCCTGCATTTATTATTATTTGCTAAATTCTATTCTCACTAAACTTGATTCCTGTGTACCAATAGGGTTCAGGTTGATGTTGATAGTTGAGTTTTACATTTTGAGTTGGATATAAATATCATCGCTGAAAACCAGCCTGACCAAATCTGTTTGCAACCCTATGTAAAAGCGAGCTCACATCTCAATGAAGTATGCAGTACACACCTATATAAGAGAAATATCACCTTCAAATCATGTGATAAAGAAATCATGCACATGCTTAATTCCTAGCAGCGATCTAAATTAATTGGGAATTAGGAAAATAAAATGATTAGCAGTAACTTGCAGAAAAAAGGAAAGTAACCTGACGCCTATTTGGCAAGAAGCCTGGACAGTTGTATTGTATTTTCTGTCCAATAGAATCAGCTGCTTGCAGAAGTATTGTTTTATTTTTCGTAGCAATGAATTCTAGCTTCCTAAGTCGACCTTTCTTTAATGAATCTCGAAGCGGAGGTTGCCGAAAAACTCTCTCACATACATACTTTGGATGGAGTTTCTTACACCAGTATTCCTGTAAAAGAAAATGAAGGCAATCGTTCAAACCCAACTAAATGATATACATATTTCAATGAAACATAGCATATCAATGAGAAAAACAGACAGACATTCATGGACCAAGCTTTACAATATCTGGATTATATTACAAACACAAAGTCATGTGATACTTCACGATAAAAGGAAGCTTATACGCACAAAAGGAAGAAAAAGATGTATCAAGAGAACACGAGTCCTTTTAACTAGATCTCTGTATTTAGACTACGATACAGAAATATTTGCATTACACAAAAGACCAAAGAATTCCATTTATCTACATGTCAACTTAAGGTAAGAATAGTGAAGAAATTGCAATATCTAGAGATAGTTTCATTATCGACAACCATCTTATTTCCCATGACATTGATTCAACCAGAACTTAACTAAGAAGAAGGTTATTGAATATAACTTTTATGTATATAGGGATAATATAGTGGAATACTTCCCGTTATTACTAACAAATGCCAAGCAACAGGAACTTATGAACTGATAATAAGGAAAGTAACAGCTAGCAGGTAATAATTGAACAGTGAAGTTCATTATCCACATTAATTTTGAATATCATGTAAGAACAGGCTTGTCCACTATTTGATATCATGAAGGGAGCTCAACCACAAAATAAATATATGGTAGTTCTACTTGAACACTAATAACGGAACAATGTCAACATATCTAACGAAAAAATTTTGTTTAATTCTTAACCTTTTAAAAAATATCAAACACCATCCAATTATATGGTACTACTCAACATTTTGAATATTGGTTATCGGAAATATATCAGATAGTCAAAATTCATATCGAATCTCAATTATCAGGATATATTGGGGATAAGTAGTAAAAATCTGAGTGTTATATCAGATGGTGAGCATATATAAAATAATATCTTAAAATGTAATCTGAGCACATTTAATGAAAAATAAACATACTTTTTGATAATGAGGCGATCGAGAATTGAACCCAAGATATTGAGAGTCATATTAGAACCTCCCAACCATCTGGAACCTCCCAACCATCTGGGTCATCAATGGTGCTCTATAAAAAATAAACATACTAATATGCAAATAACACATGTTTAGGATTACTTCTCAATTGTTTTTGTTTAGTGGATGTGAAATAGAATAGGATGACATTGTTTTTGTTTAGTGTATGAGGGTTGGGTATGGAAAATTTGTGTTTTTTTCTCCAAATCCAAACCAGTTCACTTAGAATGTAAATTATAGAAAATCAGGCAATTTTTAGCCCATGAGAAATTGAACGCTTTATCGGATTTACTCCGATATATCAGGGAATCTGCCCAAAACTATATGTGATATATTTTTACAAAAATTGTATCGACCATAGCCCAAACCCCACATATCGGTGATAAGTAGATAAAATCGGTCTATTTCTAAAACACCGGTATTACTATCAACAAAAATACCTTAAAGAGAGGATCCACATCACCATCAATGTCAAACCAGCAAAATTCAGTGTTGACCTTTGATGCGGTATATAAAGCCATTTCCTTCTGCATATACCAAGAAAAGCTGAACTTTTAGTAAATTGGTCTTTAAGGATTAAAAAGTAGCTAATAAATAGAGGAAAAGCAGCATCCAACCAACTAGGAATATTATCAGCCAATATCAGATTTGGATGCAAACAAACACAAGAATAACTTAAGGCCCGTAGTTGGATGTTCGGAGAGTGGGTGGAAGTGTATGTATAGGAGTGGCAGTGGTTGGAGGAAGAAGGGGAAGATAATCTCAATAAATAAGTAAAGGAACAAATCGGTGACAGTTTTACGAAAATCTGAATAACCACTAGAAGTCTAGAAGAAACTGATACGAAATATAGGAATGAGTATGGCAGATAATGAATCCAATGCATAACATTACTATGTCAATGATTGATGTTGATCCAATGATTCCAATCTACTCCTCTATACTTAACGGAGAATCCAAATAGTTACTTTTCATACTATAGTTAAATACTGTAGCATGAACAATAAACCATATCTGGTTCTGCTATAGTAGTCATGATATAATTAAATCAATTGTATTAAAACTTGGATCATTCGTTAAGTATAGAGGAGTAGATATGATTTCTAATTTTAAGCATACAATAATTAAATTAAATGTATTAAAACTCAGAAGGAGATAAGTTCAAAATGCAATGCTTTAAAAAATAAGGGGCCGTGCTTTGCACAGGATGCATACTAGTAACTTATTAACAGGCAGATTACTTGAAAATCCAGTTGAAATCTGATCAACAACCCAGTACCTGGTAAAAGGCTAAGCACTGAAGAACAAATTTATCCATGGAATCCAATTCTACATCCAGGACGCCATCGTAATCTTTCACCTGAAACCAAAAGGCGATGATAGATACTATTTACTATGCATACCTATGAAAAAGCCACTAGTCAAATTGGTCCAAAAAATAAAGTTGTCATTAGTGCATAAGATGAAATTTTAAAAGCTATGACAATGTTTGAGGATGTCTCATTTTGCAGAAGAATATCTGGTGTACAACATGGAAAATAAATTACCAGAAACTAGAAAAAAAATGATCTCCAGGAATACACGAAACCTGTGATTTTGTAGTTCTATTGCTAAACCCAACAAAAAAGTAATGATAACATGAATATTGAATAGTTGTTCCATAATAGCCTGAGCACAAGTGCAAGAGCAATAATTTGTTTCTCAATTGACCTGCTGGCTTTCCACATCGCACAAGAAGTCCTTTGCATACTGATTAACATATTATAGTTACAAGTAATTTCTAAATTTGTGTGTTGTACCCTGTCATGTTGTTATGTTTGTGCTTCTTAGATTACAGTTTGACATCAACTGGTCAGATGAGCATAAGAATCATGAATACTTCTCTGGGGCCTCCTTAGTTTGAATCGAAGAACGATTTGGATTACACGAGTGGAATAATCATCACGATATAATTTTTTGCACATTTAATCACACATGAGAAGACAATCGTTCATCCATGCTATCTTAGGAAGAACATCCAAAACATGATTTGTGCAGCTGCATAATTTTATAAGTCACGCCATGCCACTTTAGGCTTATGAATCCCTAATATGCAGAAACTCAGTTTCATCAGGTGCATGCAGGTTACAAGCCCACAAAACTGATTTCACAAGTATTACAGTCAGTTAAAATCTGCCTAAAACCCAAATACGGATCCCAAACATTTTGCCGAAATGGAGATGAGAAGCCCCAATTGCCTTAATCCCCTTCCCTCTTTCTTGTTTTCACCAAATGGATGATGCCGGTTTTTTAACGTGCAGCAAGGAATGAAAGCAAGCAGGCAGTTGTCCGCCCTTTTTCCTTTCACTGTGATTTCAGGCTTTGAACAGTTGTATTCTGAGTGACAAGTCTTCTGGATTCATTTGGGAGCGATACTAGAAGCTGTAGTAGTTGAAATCAGGTTGACTTTTTCTAATTTACTAATTTGTAACTGAGTCATAGCAGAAACAGCTGGCAGCTGCAGCTGTATGATTCTAAGGGGAAAAAAAGAGTTCTTTACTCCCTAGCCTCTTCTTTTCCCTTTGCTGCTGCTGGATAGATTTTAGTTTTTACACACTATAATTGCCTTGAACCAGAATAGTTGAATGTGAACACCTCAAACTCGAACTTCAATTTAGACTTGTAAATGGAAAATTTAAATTCAGAAATAATTTGAATTTGGAATTCAGAATTGTGATTGTGACGCGTTTAATTCGATGCCAAGAATGCAGCTCGCAATAGAAAAAGGTCTCTGTATCAGCTACTTATTGAGAGTATTAAAAAAGCAAAAAATGATATGCTCGATAACGTACACTGGTACCTAAGCATAAAACAATCCGAAAGGCAAACAAGTAGGACCTTAATCAAGCAATGATTCAATGTATTTTATTCTAGTGAGTTTGAGATTGAATATAGAATTTTAGATGAATTTCTCAAGTGGGTAAAAGGTCTCATAGAAAGGTGAAATGATGGATAGATCGCATGCGAGTTTTAAAGGCAAAAATATTTTTAACCAAGATAAGTTGATTGTGCTAATGAAACATTTAATTCTTGAAATTTCAATTTGTTGATGTACTAAACGTGTCATTTAAATTAATAGTAAATTAGTGGAAATTCTATTGAAAACACCCCATTTGTGGAAATTGGAAATCAAAATTTTGAGTGTTACAAGTAGCTCCAAAGGATGCAAGTGAAATTGGACTCTATCTCTAGGAATGACTGCTAAATATTATTAATTGTGATACAGTAACCTCTTTATTGTTAATTTGGTATTTTTCCTTCCTATAAATGGTTTCCATTTTTTAATTTTATGAGTTACACAGACACACTAAGAAGAGAACCAACAATATCCAAAGGGCATGATCTAGTTCTCATGCATCTCAAACAAAAATGATTCAACAAAGAGAAAGGAAGAGCTTGAAAAAAAGGATGTACTTATGGAGAATGATGATTCACAAGTACATCCAGATGGAGTTAAGAACCTAAGGGAGAGAATGAATAAGATATCTTTTCAGCTTGTCGGCTTACATAACCATAAGAACAAGATACTGGAATGAAAGACTTTCACACAATTATTTTTTCATGAAAAGATATTTCAATAACTATTTTGAAAAAAATTATTGTTCATACCACCAACTTAGATTTCCGATATTCAGTGAACATTGATTTTCACAAAAGACAAGTATTGGGAAAATACATTTTGTTATCAAAATTATTTTCATAAACAGTACAGGGGAAATGTTTGTTTGCGATCTAAAAAGTTTTCATGAACTGCTTCGCATTTAAGCATCATGGACCAAACGAAAAAGAACAAAACAACAAAACTGTATAGAAAATAGACCTTTTAAGTTAGGTGATCTAAAAGGTTTTACTAAGAACCTGAAGTGGAGAAACTTTATGAAAGCAAATTACTTGTAACGAATGACTGTAAAATATATATACCGCATCTTCATATTCACCGATTGCATGATAGCATGATCCACGTAAGTAAAGAGAATCTATGTCGGAGCTTTCGATGTTCAATCCCAAAGATAAATCCTTTATCGCTGTCCTGCAGCATAGGTCAGGGAAGGGTTTAGAATATTTACTTATACATAGAAACTAAAGGTATTGCTTTTTAGGTAATAAAATCGAAAGGAAGAAAGAAAAAAATGACAGTCGCACGCTTAGCAGAATATGTCAAACAAATAAGTAGCATTAAGCACTAGGATACTCAGTGAAATCTAACACAACAGCTCCTGCAAATCCATCATTGTCCCAGAATACCTCTTCTAACAGCAGTAACAAAGCCCTTACCCAATTGGGACATGTGGATCAGCTGCCTGGGTCGTACTTCTGTCGGTATTTTCTCGTATGGAATTGATCACTATGCCTTCCTTATGGAATGAGTTGGTGGCTCATCAATTGGCAATTCTTAAAGAGGATATGCCCCAAGATGAGTCACTTCTAGAATATACTAAGAAAAAAATGTTTACCGGGTCCTTTTCATGCAGATTCATGCAGACTAATTGATGAGGCCAACTGATCCAGAGACAGAATATGTCAGATCCGCATAAAGTGAATTACCTTATCGTTTGAGGATGAAGATAATGTTTTTTAATAACTGGAGCTGTCACCATGTAGGACTTTACTATTTGAGTCCAATTACGAATTGGGTTTATCTTTCATATTTGTACCTTAGATTTAAAATCTGGAAGACTATAAGGTGTCTAATTTCATCTTTCTCTTTATCATTTAGTGAGTGAATAGATTTAGTATTTCAGTTTACTTTTATTCTCATCTCTCACTTTACTTCCACCTCAGGACTCGGGACAGGTATAAGTTAGTTGAAATTTCACTAGTGCTCATCTTAATAGTCAAAGTTGTAATAAAAAGGAGTTGATGCTACCTTTTAGAGTAGACTTGAAGGGTGAAATGAAATAAAATTGATTATTGATTGATTTGAGCGTTTATTTCCAGGCCTTTTTGAATCCTTCTTCATATCCCCTTCACCTCTTCACTAAAATTCTCTCTGATTCTCTACCACTGAACAGTGCTCGCTCACTTACAATTGCATCTGAATGGCAACAATGCAGAACATTGTACGATTTTACAATTAATTTTCATTGAAATCCAGCTATGCTTTACACTGATCTTACCTCTTAGGCTACCTAATGCAACCTTCTTTTCAACCTGGCCAAGGTTAAGCACAAGGCTGTAGAATGGTATTTGAGTATCCAAACAGATGGAAAAGAATCATCACAAAAGTTGCTCCACATATTTTTCATCACCTTTAATATAACCACCAATGACTTTGTGGTTATGGCATTATACATGGCCTCTATATGTGCACCTACCGCCCAAAAAATAAACGATTAAAAGAATAATACTCCCTTTGAAAGTGAGAGTTTGGGAAAAACATTTTATGGGCAATATAACCCCTGATCTTTTTAAATATTACATTATGATCATATCCTAATTACTTTAAATAGATCCGTAATTCATTACTTGTAATCTTACCCTAAATAATAGAAATGTCTTTAATAAATTCTTAAAAATAAAAAAGTTATAAAAAATGTTCTTAAAAATCTAAAAATCAGACAAAGCACCCTTAGATCAAAAAATTACAAAAAAAACCGCTTAGAAATAAAAAATTTCAAAAAAGTCCTTAAAACTTCAAAATTTGCAAACAACCCCTTATACAACTATAAATAATCATACTCCCTTTAAAAGTGGGAATTAGGGAAAAACTCTTTTTGAACAATATTGCCCTTGATTTTTTTAAAATATCACATTATGACCCAATCTTAATTAATAGAACCCTTTAAATAGATTTATAATACATTAATTGTGATCCTATGCTACATAATAGAAATATCTTTAATAAATTCTTAAACTTCTAAAAGTTATAAATAATGTTCTTGAAAATCTAAAATTTATATAAATCACCTTAAATCAAAAAATTACAAACCCATTAAAAATCACAAATTTTAAACAGGTCCTTAAAACTTCAAAAATCGCAAACAACCCCTTAATACAGCTACAAATTATCATACTCCATTTAAAACTTTTCTTGGACAATATTGCCCTCGATCTTTTTAAATATCAAATTATGATCAAATCCCAATTTATAGAACCCATTATATAGATCTATAATACATTACTTGTGATTCTATACTAAATAATAGAAATATCTTTTATAAATTCTTAAAAATACAAAAGTTATAAATAACTTTCTTAAAAATCTAAAAAATTATACAAAGCATCGTTAAATAAAAAATTAAAAAACAACCCCTTAGAAATAAAGAATTTTAAAAAAGTCATTGAAACTTCAAAAATTGCAATCAATCGATTATATATCTACAAATCACAAATCGTCATTTGAAAATTCTAAAAATTACAAACATCAGAACCCCCTTGAAAAACCCAAAAATTACAAACATCAGAACCCCCCTAAAAATCTAAAACTTAAAAAAAATTCTGAAGATATGAAATTTTTAAACCTCTTGAACAATATGAAATTATAGCCAGAACCCTAAAATTTGAAAATACTACCTCCCTCCTCACTAAAAATTCCAAATATTACAAAAAACACGCAAGAAATTATAAAAAACTTGAACAGTTCCCTAAAGAACTTGAAATTATAGATGATACCATGAAAATTGAAAAATTACAAATAACTCCCTTGAAAAAGCTAAAAATTGTAAAAACACCTCAGAAAAAATCCAAAAATAAAAAAACAAATTGAAAATTAGATATTTTTGAATAGTTCCATGAATAATCTGCAATTAGTTACAACACCCAAAAAATTAAAAGTTTACAGAGTTCCAAAATCTAAAGTTGACAAAAACACCCTGAAAAAAGCGAAAAATTAAAAAACATCCTGAGAATTTTGAAATATTCGATCAGCCCTTTGAACAATCTAAAACCACCGTGGAATATTCAATTTTACAAGCAACCTCCGAAAAGTCACAAAAAATACAAATTTTATGGTTGTCTCATTGCTCATTCTCTATGAAAGATTTTATTAAAATACTTGTAACTAAAAAACTAGCTTTTATCAAATACTTCTGAACAATCTAAATGATGTTAAAATATTATTAACTATTGAATAATTGTCTAACAAATTCTCTATGAAAGATTTGGGTGAGATATCATATAATTTGGGACTTAAACTCTATAGGGATAGAGTTGACATGCTAATAGCATTATCTCAGTCTACTTATATTGATAAGATAGGAGCCAAGTTTAACCTACAAGATCCAAAGAAGAGACTTACTCTTTTTAGACACGGAGTCTCTCTTTCAAAGAAAAAATGTCACTTCATAGAAATAAGTAGTTGGAAAGAATGACCAATGCCATATGTTTTTGTTGTAGGTAGTCTTATGAATGCAATGTTGTGTACTACTACTAGGGCTAAATATTGCTCAAGAACCAAGTCGAGTTAGTAGACATCAGTCCAATCCTGAAGAGGAACATTGAACTGCAGTAAAGCATATTCTTAAATATCTTAATTGAATAAAATATTATTGTTTAGTATTTGATGGTAATCCTTTAAAGGTTGAATGATACACTAATTTTGATTTCCAGTCGAATCATAATGATAGAAAATCTACATCAAGGTTTCTCTTTAAATTAAATAATGCGGCTAGTAGTTGAAACATTTATACGCAAGAAAGTATATCTGACTCTACAACTAAAATAGAATATATTTTAGCTTGTGTAAAGTAGCAAAATGATCAATTTGGATTAAAAAAATTGTGCAAGAGTTAGGTGTTGTTCCTACTATCGATCTATCACATTGCATTGTGATAACATGGAGCAATTGCACAAACTAGAGAGTCTAGGGCTCATTATAGATCAAAATGCATCGTAAGAAAGTATCACGTGGTAAGAGAAATTGCCAAAAGAAGAGACAGACATTACCAAAGTTGTTTCTGCCGATAATGTAGTAAATCAATTGACTAAACCTTTGAGTCAAAAGGTGTTTGAGAAATACATTGACAAGATGGGTTTGAAATTTGTATTGGATTGGATTTGTGCGCAAGTGGGAGACTTAAAGATATATGCTCTACAAAGCTAATAAATTTATTATATGATAATAAATAAGAGTTTGCATGCATAGTTACACAAAAACCCTAAATATACAAAAGTTTTGAACGTCTTGAATAATATGAAATTATAGGCAAAATCATGAAGTTTGAAAATTAGTAACAACCTCCTCACCAAAAATTTTGAACATTACAAATATCACTTTAAAAATCTAAGAATTTTGAATGATCCCCTAAACAACTTGAAATTATAGACAACATCCTAAAAATCTAGAAATTATAACAAACGCCTCAAAAATTCTAAAAAATAAAAAACAAACACCTTGAAAATTAAAAAAATTTGAACAGCTCCACGAACAATCTATAATTACATACAGCATCCCAATAAACTAAAGATTACAAACAGAGTTCCAAAAATCTTACGTTGTAGAATCCTTGAAAAAAGTGAATAAAAAACACCCTAAAAAAGTCAAAATAGAAAAAACATCCTGAAAATCTAAAACCTTTGGTAAACACTTTGAACAATCTAAAACCACAAGCAACCATTGAACATTCAAAAATTACAAACAACCTCTGAAAAGACCTAAAAAATATATAAAACATGTTAAAATTTAACAATTACAAAAAATACTCTGAAAATCTAATTTTTTTTATTCACCTGCTGCACAGTTTGAAATCAGAAAGCCCCCAAAAAGTTTAAAAATTAGAAAAACCCTATGAAAATATTAAAAATTACAAATGGCCTTCTGAAAAAAATGTTAATTACAACCAACAGCCTAAAAATTAAAAATTGCAAACAACCATCCAGACAAAAAGCACCAAACAATTATCTTAAATCTGATAAGTACCAAAATGACTTTGGAGTTGAAAATTCTATAACTGAAATTCTAACGATTCCCAAACAATGGATTGGATTTCAAATTTTAACAATTCCTTGAATCTAAACGCAAAATCAATGTAGCTTTAGAAAAATGCATGACATTTTTGAAGAACTTTGAACTAGACCCCTCCAGACTTCATT